ACAATGAGAGGCTTTGAAAGGCACATGATGACGATGGTGGTCATGGTGACAGTGGCAGTTCTAGGGGAAGTGATCCAGGCCCACAATCTCTTATCTGCAATTCAAAATCCAAAATCTAGAAGCCTTTTCTAATGCATTTGGTGGGAGGATGTCCACTGTCTTTACTGTGCAAACTCGTGTTTCACTGCAGACATAGGAATGTGTTCAAGGCCCGTGCTTGCCTCAGACCTCACTGCCTGTGTCATGAGCACGTACTATGTGTACAATATTTCCTTCTACAATCTGATACATTCTGAACTTCCAAATGCATCTGGCCTGGGGTTCAAGATGCACTTGAGGACCCGGAGAGGTGAGAGTTATGCTCACCTCGCTGCTTCTGTGTGGCTCTCTAGTGCATGGGAGAAAGAGCCCGGGTCCTCACCGAGGCCTTCGTGGGCCTTGTGGCCGCCCCATAGACTCCCTCGCTGACCTGCGGCTGGAGGCCCCTCTGCCTGCGAGGCTGCTCCTCAGATCCCACACAGTGGGCTCACTCCCTCCTTTCAAGTATTGACTCAAATATCATCTCATGAGACCCGCCGAATCCTCCCTGGGTACCGCACATCCCAGCAGTGCTTCCAATCCCAGCCCGCCTCCATCTGTCCGTCTCCACGCCGCTCATGACCGCCTAATACTCGCACAAGCACTGGCTTAGTTTGGTTCTTGTCTGTTTCTCCATCACGCCCTGACTATTACACTGGATCCACCAGGGCAGGCAGTTTTGACCGTTTTGTTCACTGCTGTGTCCTCGGCACTTAGAACAGTGTCTGGGACATAGTAGGTGTTCAATCCATACCTAGTCTCTGAACAAACCCGATGTAATAATTGCAATGGTCTTTTGAGGTGGGTACAGCAACAAACCCCTGTTTTTATAGATGAGACCCTGAGAGGAAATCAAACTAGGTCTGTATTGCTCCGAAGCCCCCCTCCACAGGGCTATGCACCTATGTGTTCATATGCACACACAGCACATGTGCACACAGACACACACACACACAGTTCATCAGTTGTATCAGGTTGAGCTGAATTTGCTGCCTGGTCACTGCAGAGAAAACCTCTCTGAACTGGCGGAGACAGAGTGACCAGGAAGTCCACTGCCAGCCCCTGGGTCCCCAGATCCCTTTATTCCCTGCTGGAGGTGGGGAGCTCTGGGTCTTTGAGGAGTGTGATCAGCCAGGGCCTCACCCAGCCTGGGACAGTGGGCCTGCTGCCCTGCTCCCAGTAGGAGCCCCTCCCTCTCAGGCCTGTCCTTCCCCGTTGCCTCTGCCCTGCCATCCCCTCTGCCTGGGACCCTCTTCCCTTTTTTCTCTACCTGGCTGGCTCTGTTCTTCATTTAGGTTTTAGATTCTCAGATGAGACCTCATCACCTTAGAGAGACCCTCCCTGCCTGCCCAGCCAAAGGCATGTCCTGCTAGTGTGGATGGTATTGTGGCCGAGGCACTTGCCGTTCCCACCATTGCACTTAGTAATTCAAAAGGTGTAAATATTTTGGGTGCCTGGTTTTTATTTTTATTTTTTTGAGATGAAGTCTTGCTCTGTTGCCCAGGCTGGACTGCAGTGGTGTGATCTCAACTCACTGAAACCTGCTCCTCCCAGGTTCAAGCGATTCTCCTGCCTCAGCCTCCTAAGTAATTGGGATCACAGGCACCCACCACCATGCCTGGCTAATTTTTGTATTTTTAGTAGAGACAGGGTTTCACCACATTGGCCAGGCTGGTCTTGAACTCCTGACCTCAGGTGATCTGCCCGCCTCGGCCTCCCTGAGTGCTGGGATTACAGGCATGAGCCACCACGCCCAGCCTAAAATTAATTTTGAAAGGTCTTTTAAAAAGCAGACACCAGGGCCAGGCGAGGTGGCTCATGCCTGTAATCCCCACACTTTGGGAGGCTGAGGAAAGTGGATCACGAGGTAAAGAGATTGAGACCATCCTGGCCAACCTGGTGAAACTCTGTCTCTGCTAAAAATGTGAAAATTAGCTGGGTGTGTTAGGCACCTGCAGTCAGGGAGACCCTGAGCACAGACTGCAGGGCTGAGGGGACCTGGTCTTCGGGTGCTTGTTTACTTGTGTTCTCCAACAGGTCTCCTGTTAGCTGGTCAGATTCTGGAGGGCAGAGACTCCTGGCTGGGTCTCTGTATTCCCAGTGTTTTACAGAGCTGGATGCACAGGAGATGCTCAATCATATTTGTAGATGAATAAATGAATGGTTGAGCGAATAAATAGGCCGTGCAGGAGGACTGAGGGGTAAAGAGATTGATGACCATGCAGGCCTCTGGCAAGACCCTCTGCCCCGTTGGTTCCTGGCTGACCTCGGTAATAATCATAATAGCTGCTGCCATTATTATTGTTTATTGGGCACTTATAACACTATACGCCAGGATTATACTTAAGCTCTATGTACATGGATTCATCGAATCCTTGTAAGCCTCTATGACATACTATTATTATTCCCAGTTTACAGATGAGGAAACTGAGGCTTACAGAACTAGTCCAATGTTGCCCAGTTGGTAAGTGGATGACTAGAATTCAAACTGCAGAGTCCGTGACTTTTCCATGCCCCAATGTGGGCTTGTTTTTTTTTTTTTCTTCCTTTTTTGAGACAGAGTCTCGTTCTGTCCCCCAGGCTGGAGTGCAGTGGCACCATTTCAGCTCACTGCAACCTCCACCTCCTGGGTTCAAGTGATTCTCCTGCCTCAGCCCTCCCAGTAGCTGGGATTACATGTGCGCGCCACCACGCCTGGCAGATTTTTTGTATGTTTAGTAGAGATGGGGTTCTGCCATGTTGGCCAGGCTGGTCTCAAACTCCTGACCTCTGGTGATCCGGCTGCCTTGGCCTCCGAAAGCGCTGGGATTACAGGCGTGAGCAACCATGCCGGCCCCAGCGCTGGCCTTTAGGGTGACATCGGCTGGGCCAGTAGGGAACGTGCAGTTGCCAGAGCTGCCTTCCCACCTTGCTGCCTGCATCTGTCCAGGAAGGCTGGGGCTGAGAGGGGGCAGCTGTGGGAAGCCCCGGCCTGTTACTAGCACCCAGACATGCTGGGGGCATCTTCATGCCCCAGGGTCCAAAGGTTGCCAAGTCCCAATCCCAGTCAGGAGGCTGTGGTGTCCCCAGGGCTCTGGCATTGCCTCATGTCTCCTTGGAATGGCCCAAAGGGTGCCTGCGCTCTTTGACTCCAGCCCCCGCCCTGACCCTTGGTGTCCCCAGCTCTGGTGGCTGTATTTCTGCTGGTGGAGGTTGTGTCCGGGGGCCATTTTCCTGCACAGGAGTGGCTTTGGGGTCCTTCCCTTTTAGCTAAGGGTACAGAGAGGGCCCTCTGTGAGGGCAGAAATGCTGGACTGGGGTTGGCTTGGCTGTGCACCAGCTGCTGCACTCTGGGTTTGCACTCGGCCTTCCTGGGCCTCGATTTTCCCCACTGAAAATGGGGCCAAAGGGCCCATCTGCTTCATTGGCTGTTGCAAAGCTTGCAACAGAAAATGGCTTCAAAAGAGCTTTGTAAGCAGTGACCCACCGATCGAAGGGAATGCTTGGTCCCCACCGGCTCACACAGACACTGGGAACTGCGTGTTCCTGGGGTTCCAAGTGGTCCCCATACTGGGGGTGAAGGGCTTACCTCCAAGTCTTCCTGACACTGGCCTGCAGTAGGCCAGGGGACTCGCCTGGTCCCGTCAGGAGCCTCCCCCATGATGGGATTCAGGTGGGAGGGCCCTAGAGCAGGACACGGGCTCTCCATACTCAGCTGGGAGCCTCCCTGTCTCAACAAAGTCTGAGGCCAGAGGTGAGGAGCCGATGGGGGGGCTTAAAGGCCTGGTCCCTCCTCAGCTGGGGCCCCGAAGCCTGCCAAGGGACTGTCTCTAGGCCTCTTACTTTGGGACAAAGGTGTTTTGTCCCTGTTGTTAGATATGAGAAAAGCCATGTGAACATGTGTGCACAGGTGGCTTTGTCACATGCTGGGGAGATAATCCTGCATTTGGAGGCCGTGTCGTGCTCATGAGAACGCACACACACAGTTCTCACACACATGCACACAGACACACAAAGACTCACACATTCCCCCACACTCACACCTGTACACCCAGCTTCCCTAGGAGGCTGCGAGGCTCCCTGCCCAGGCAGGCAAGGCCTCCGGACACTTTCCCTGCAAGCCGGAAGCTGCTCGCGTCCTCCTGTTCCCAGCCCGGAGTCATGCACCTCTGTCGCTCTGCCAGACCTTCCAAATCCTCAGGAAGTGGTCAGATCTCATCCAGTTCACACCCCCAACTCCCACATTGCAGAAATGGGGAGATCAAGGCCCAGAGCAGCTTGGGGACCTATCTGAGATCACACAGGGTCAGGCTCACAACCCAGGCCTACAGTGAGAGCTGGCCAAGCGTGTACTCATCCCAGCGGGCCTGGCTGGGCCCCTCTGGGACTGATCCAGGATGGGTTGTGAGACGGACTAGGACTTCCGCTGTGAATCCTTGACTTTTGGTCAGTGGCGTCCTCAGAGGCGGCCCCACCCTGCCCCGGCCCACTCTGCCTAGAGTTATCATCAGAGCTGCCTCGGAGACGGCGAGCTTCCATGTCTCTGGAGGCGACCAAGTAAGGGCTGGGCTGTCGGTGGGGGACCCTGCAGAGGGAAGCCTGTATGCTCTGCTAAAATCCGACTCTGCCTAGGAATCATGTTGTCCGGGCCCCATCGGATGTGGCTCCCCGCTGCAGACCCTCTTGCACTGGAAGGGTAAAGCAGGGCTCTCAACAGCACATGAGAGAGGCAGGGTCATGCTCCTGGTGGGTGGGACACGCAAGGCAGAGGGCCAAGCTGCGGTTGGGTGGTGGGGGCAGGCAGGGATCCCAGTGACCTCACATCTCCACAACGCTCCAGGTGACATGTGGGCCCCAGAGTCAGCCTTGGATAGAACTGGGATCTCTTTCCTTGCACCAGAGTGAGCCCGGGTATCCTGCGGACACCGGGAAGGGGTACTCACCCAGCATCCCCAGCAGGTACAAGGCGGCCAGCGGTGGCAGAGACCCCATGGGCATGGCCTCCGGCCTCCTCCTGCTTCAGCCTGGGCAGCTCAGCACTGCGGGTGAGGGTGTCTGGCCCGGTATCTTGCTCTCAGGGAGGGAGAGGGCAGGGCGGCTGCTCAGGGAGGGGTGGGACGGGGAGCAGGCAGTGTGGGGCCTACGTCACCCATGTTTGAAGTGTCAACTTCCTCCTGGCAAAACCACCTGCTCCTGTTTGAATGGCAGCTCTGGCCTCTGCCAGCTTCCTGCGCAAGGTGCCCAGGACTGGGGCAGTTCTCTTGGCCACCCCCATACAGGACAAGGCCAAGCGTCCTGGAGGGACAGGGCTGTAGGGGAGGGGAACCTTAGCTGGGGGTTATGGAGCGCGAAGGCCTGGCTGCAACTGAGGACCGGGCTGAGGACAGGTGTCCCTGAGGCAGGGGTCTGGGCGGGGAGAGGCAGGAAGTGGGCGGCGTGATGCCAGTTCTCATTGCAGGCTCCGATGAAAGCCAAAACCAAACCCTCCATTTCCCCTTTATGAGGGATGAGGCTAGGAGTTTGAGGTGAATCTCCACAGGTATTGTTTTGCTAGCAAATACAAGAGATGGCTCCGTCATGAATGCTGGGCTTGTGTCTGTCTGTGTGTGTGTGTGCGCGCCTGTGTATAGAGAGAGAGCGCCATGTTGATTTGTGTGATTTGTGTTGTGTGGGTGATCACCATGTTGGGGTATATGTGTGAGCTCTATGTTGATGTGTGTGTAATCCCCACGTTGTGTGTGTGTGTGATTTCTGTGTTGATGTGTGTGAGCTCCATGTTGGCTTATGTGATCTTCGTGTTGTATATGTGGTCTCCATGTTAATGTGTGTGTAATCTCCATGTTGATATATGTGTGTGTGATTTCCATGTTGATGTGTGATCTCCATGTTGATGTGTGTGTAATACCCATGTTGATATGTGTGATCTCCATGTTGACTTGTGTGATCTCTAAGTTGTATGTGTGATATCCATGTTGTGTGTGTGTAATCCCCATGTCAATATGTGTGATTTCTGTGTTATGTGTGATCTCCATGTTGAGGTGTGTAATCTCCATGTTGATGTGTGTGGTCTCCATATTGGTGTGTGGATATGTATGTGAGCTCCATGTCCCTGTTGTTCTTGGAGGGTCTGGAATCAACCCCCTTGAAGAAGCGGCAGGGTCTCTGCAAGAAGAGGCAGGGAAGCCTGGGGCAGGGGAACGTCTCCGTGTTTCCCTGGGCTGGGCTAGGCTGGATTCCGTTTTTTCCTCACATCCTTTGTGCTCCCAGATGGGAAAGCTCCTGGCTCCTGGGGCTTCCTGTACTCTGGGCCACCCCAGGCAGGTTCAACGACATGGTCACTAGTCCAGGTCCACAGGGGCCTGGGGCCTCCCCCTCCCTGTGCTGGAGAGGCTAGCTCGGTGACTGCATCCACTTAGATTCCACTTAGATCCACTTAGACACGCCCTGGTTTCTGCTGCCTCAGGGCTCGAGGGCGCTGCATGCTGGAACCTCCTTAGCAGAGGGAAACATTGACCCCGACCCCAGGATCAGGAAGCTGTGATTGGGGCCACACCCACCCCTCATTCAGCCTTCAGAGGTGACTCTTCCTCCCACCAGAAGTGGCCTCAGCCTGGGATGGGGAGACCTCACCCGCCCAGCCCCTCCCAGCCAGGCCTGGCCCAGTTCCCTGTCCCCTGCCCTCACATCCATCCTTCCTGTTCTCCTGACTCTGGAAATCCCAGCCTCTTTCATTCATTTTTCCCCTCCCCTCCCCTCTCCTCATCAAATATTTGCTCCATGCTAAGCACAGGAAGATGAAAGAGACAGACACGGCTCCACCCTTCTTAGCACCAAAGACTCCTCTGGGATGTTTTTTCTTGATGAGTGCTGTTCATGGATCACACAGCTGTGTGCAGTAAGCGGCCTTCACAGCCCCTGTTCCCCCGACACTCAGCTTACATAATTGCAGCCCAAAAGAGAAATTTTATTAAGCACCTTCCTCTAGCCAAGGGTGTCAGCTCCTTTAGTCTTCCCAACGAGCATGGGAGTCGGCATAGCGTTCCATTTCACAGATGAGGAAACTGAGGTCAGAAGGTAAAGTATTCAGCCCTGGGAGGTCAATGCTGAAATACGATTCCACATTTTCCTCACTCTGCCACCCTTGCCACCAGTCCCCACCTCCGCACCCAAAGAAAAGAAAACAAACCAAACACTTGGGCTTTGCTTTGATCTCGAGTCTTCATCACAGAATGAGTTCTACTCTTTTTGTTTGTTAGTTCGGTTTTGGGAAACTGAAAGTAGCTCAGGGTCCCGGCCCCCAGGGCTGGCACTGCTCTGACCCTAGTGCAGGGGGTTGCTGCCTCCCAGGACACTGCCCTGTAGGCTCTCTCGGCTCCCTCCCTGCCGCCCACCCCCATAAGTTACCCCTGCCCTTTTCACCCCTGCAGGCCCTTAGGTGCCGAGACCCCTGGGCCCCTGTCCCCGCTCAGACCCCAGATCCCTGGCGGGAGTTTCCTGTCCTCATCACTGCACTTTCCATGACACAAGAGGAAGTCAGCTGAGCCCAGGCTGGGTTTTCCAGGCAGCCTGGCCCAGTAGAGGCTGAAGGTGGGGGAGGGGGTTGCTGAGCCCCCAGGACCGGCTGTCAGAACCTCCTCAGCCTCCACTGGAGAGGCGCCTGCCGGTGCAGCCCTGGGCCACACCAGGTAACCTGGGGTGGGGTGTGCCTGTGTCTGTTGACCCTTCTGGATTGGGTGACTCCCCAGTGCCCCCAGGTGTGCCCTGTTTACTGGGGCAAAGGGGCACCAGGGATGTGGGGAAGGGGGAGGAGCTGAGGGTGGGAGGGAGGAGGGGAAGGAGGCTGAGAAATGTGACTGGTGCATAGTAGGACTTCAGGGTTTGTTGAATAAATGAAGGAAGAAATCTATGGAATAATTCCCAAAGATGATGGATGGCCTGGTGGCCGGCTGAGAAGGGCGGCAGAGGCCTGCAGGTGTGTGTGGATGACTCAGTGACCTGGATCCTTGGACACCTTCATTTGGCTGTGGGGGTGGAGGCACCCAGGGAGCTGACTTTGCCGCACTCCACCCCCCCAGCTCAGGAAGGGCCTCCCTTCCCCCAGCTTTGTTCCAACCCAGTCTGGCTGTTGGATGGGGGTGGGAGGGGGAGAAGGAGGGATCTGGGATCCAGGTCTGGATGTGCAGGTGGCTCACAGTGTGGTGGGGGTGCGCAGGCCTGGTGGCACCTGCATTCGAGTCCCACCTTTGCCGTGCGGTCCTCGGGAAGTCCCTGTCCTGCTGTGGGCCGAGGTTGGCTCATCTGTACAATGTGGATATTCGACGGTCCCGAGGCCCAGCTCTCTCTTGTCCTAGGAACCCCACAAGAAAGTGTTGGGCTGGCGTGCCCAGTCCAGTCGGAGGCGGGGGATTTCTGTGTTGTAGGGCCTGGAGGTTTGCCTCTTCCGCTAGTGTAGACAGGGCTGACTGTTGAGTGAGTGTCGGGGGCTTTGGGGAAGGGGAGAAGGCAGAGGATTCCATGTGGCTTGAACAGGGCCCAGCTGGCTTGAGAAGGTGTCTCAGGGTGTGTACTTTCTCCAAGTCCCAGTGCGAGTCCAGCAGCTGGGGTGGGGGCTGTCTTGCCTGGAGGGACAGATAAGGTCTCCCCACTGACCCCCCACTTTCCTAGCCCCTCCCGGACAACGCTAGACGGCCTCCTGAGGCTTCTGGAAGGTTCGTGATCATGACAAGATGGGCTCCTAAGCCCTGGTGGTACCCTGGAGGGGGAGGGCTGGCCTTACCCGGGCCTGTGCGAGCCACACATCCCACAGTCTGAGGCCCTGAGAACTCAGCATTCGTGTTTACTAAGATTAGACTCCTTCAACCAAAAGGCATAGGCTTTGGTTGAGAAAAGAAGGCCTCCCAGTAGTATATGATGGGTGTGAACCAAGGCCATTGTTCACGTGAAATATCTGAGGATCAGAGAGGTTATGTGAATTCCCCGAGGTGCACAGATAACCAACAGTGAGCTTTGGACTGGACCGCCAAGACTCCTCTTCCACGGCACCCCTTTCCCTGGCCCAGCCTCTCTCTCATCTCAGGCTGGTGGGGTTTCACTTGGCTCTTGGAGCCTCAGATCCCACCTGTAAAATGGGTAGAACGCGGCCTGCCTTGAAGGCACGTTGCGAGGCTGGCCGGGCGCGCCTGAGGAAAAGGCTCAGGGTGGTGGTCAGCCTGCAGAGCTTCCGCACAGCATTCCTGAAGGCCCCGCACTGGCCAGAAGCTCCCCTGCCTTCTTTCCCTGGCACCCAGCACCTGGCACAAAGCTATTTCTTGGACAAATGAATAACTGACAGGGAAGCTTTCAGCTGGGACATAGGAAACTGACAAGCACACCCTGTCCCTAGCCTTGAGCTATCAGGCCCGTGGGGAGGCCACTGACAGGCAGCTGGGACACAGCATGGAAAGGCCAGGTCCGAGGGAGCACAGAGTGGAACACGTGTCCAACCAGCGTCTGGGAAAGTCAGGAAAGGCTTCCTGGAGGGGGTGACACCTAGATGAAGACCCAAAGGATGAGTAATTTTCCAGCTTGGTGGTGGGATCAACTTTCCAGGCTGAGGGAAGCATAAAGACAATGGCTTCTGAGTCCTGCCAGCTGGTAGCTTCTAGATGGTTCTAGAAGTGGGGCGCTGTGGGCAGCATCCTGGCTCAGCCCCTCACTGGCTCTGTGCCTAGGATGGAGTCTCTCCTCCGTGTGTCAGTTTATCTACGAAATAAGATGCAGCAGATGGTCCACCAGATTCCTCAATCTGTGAGTTGAAGCTTGGAATCTCATTTAAAGAATATCAGTCACCAGAAGCTGAAAAATTGATACAGCCCTTTTTAAAGGACAACACGGCAAAAGCCACATTTTGATTTTAAAAAAATCTCATATGCACTATTAACTTGAGAGGCCGCCTATACTCTCACCAGGGTGCAAAGCAGTACGAGGGGTATTGAAGCTACCAAAGGATGATAAAACCATGCAAAGACAGGGCAAAGGGTGGGTAAGTTCCAAACCGCTACACTCTGGAAGAGCCGGCAGTATAGCCGTCAAGAACGAGCCTGTAGATCCCCCTGTCCTGACACAGAGAAATAGCCATGACACTTTGCTCAGTGAAAACATTAAATTTCAGAACAATT